GTTTTGTAGTCTCAACAATTCCATGTCTATGTTTAGCTGAGTAACTGCTATCATTTAGAACAGTACAATTTTTATAGATTTCAAATTTGAAAATTTAAATAGACTCAGTTATCTAATAAGGGGCCACTGAGCCTGTTTTTAAAAAAACTATTTTGAAGTTATAAAAAGGTAGAACATCTGACTGATGATGTTCACATAAAGAGACAGACAGACAATCTCCTTGCAGACATGAAAACAGCATGTTAGGTTTTTCCTTTCCTTCCATGCCATGGGCTACCCATCTCTTTCCACTAGATCACCTGGTGAGGAGGGAGCACCTGGCTGACTCCTGCAGAGTTGGCCAATCAGAGAATTGTGTGGTCCCTAGCTCTACTTTCCTTAAACAAATCCTTTCTGTTTTCTGGCTGCAATGCTAAAACAGATCTTTCAAAGGTAATAGCATCTTCCAGACTAGTTTAATTATTTCTTTATAAGAATATGACATACATTTTTATTATAGAAATAATGTCGTTATAATTTTAGTGCTAGTACTTGTGGATTTTCTGTATTCGTATCACCTTGAAATTTGTTGCGTGAATAGAAAATACTTCTTTATTCATGTTTTCAATCACCTAAAAATTATTTTACATTTATTTTGGGTTTGTGAGAGATAATAAGATTAAGAACTTCATCATTTCAGTGACTTTCCTCCAACTCTCTGAATCTGCTACCTCTTACTATATGTCCCTTAGCAGTACTTTTCCAATTAGGTTTGTTACCCTCCTCATTAGCTAAACCTCTTTATCTTGTGCCTCAAAAGAGCTTTTACTTTTCTTAGAATCATTTAAAAAAAAAAAGAAAAAAACTGACACGCATTCATGCAAAAAAGTATTTATTGGGCTTCAGGGATTAGATACATAACAGTGGAAAAATGGCATCTTAGCACACTCAGAATTTATTGTGCAGCAGTTGTGTATTTTAGGGAATCTGTAGTTAAAAGGAAGAGATCCAAAGGTCCTGATAACATTTCTTGATGTTTCAGAAGAGTTGTCAATGAGTAGTGTCTGGATTTCCTCTCTGTACCCCTCACCCTGCCATTTTCTCCTTTATTCTTCTAAGATTGTTAGCGTTGTTACTCAAAACATACACATACAATATACCGGATGGTGCTATTCTAATGGTATTTGTTCACATAATCTAACATTCTTACTGCTTATACTATATACATATTTAATTTTGTTGGGAGCAAGAAGGTTTTCAAGAAAAGATAATTTTGTATTAGTGTAGGAATATATTAGACAAATATTTAGCTGGCCAAATTATGCATAAGATATTTGTAACTTTAAACATTGCTAATTGACCAGCTAGCTATGGAAGCATAAAATTAATTGATAATTCATGTTGGAAATACATTTCTTAAATTTATATTTTTATGGCTTTAGCCCGTAAGAGCATTTTAGCATATTGAAATGCATGCTGCTTAAGATGTGTCTGGTTCAAATATGAAAGCTTGCTGAGTCATTTTTACATAGCAGAAACATACTGTCTATGTGTTGCCCAATTGCTGTTTGTCTATTCTGAATTCTGGACCGTTTTTGGACTAGGAATTAGTTAAATTCATGAACTAAGAGAATTAAAGATGGGGTAGAGTAGGATCAGTACAGTGGGGTTACAACAGATAGGAAAGTCAGCATTTGAGTGTAGAGAAAAAAAGAGGATCATATAGATGTCATCTATAGGCTTTAATACAGCTTGCTTTTTTTTAATCCAAAAGGAAAAGCACTTATCCTATCAGAATGTCTACCATGTTTTATAGTAATAATTTGTGTAAAAAATAGAATTTTTGAATAGTTTTTTTGTATTTTTTGTGATGAAAAACTCATAACATAAAATTTACCATATTAACTGTTTGTAAAGTATACAGTTCAGCCATGTTAAGTATATTTACATTGTTGTGAAACATCTCCAGAACTTTTTCATCTTGCAAAACTGAAACTCCATACCCATTAAACAACTCCCCTTTTTGTCTTCTCCTCAGTGGAATAGAATTTTGACTCCATATAAATCAAGAAACATCTAAATTCTTTAGTTTGTGTTTGCAATATCTAAGATCATGGTAAACATTAAGTTCTTAAAATTTTTGGGAGGGCCAATGTACCTCTCCTCTGAATTGTTAGCAGTTAAATTGAGTAGGTTTTAAATATCTGTTAATTGGAAGGGTTTGTTATTTCGTTTTGAGCCAGAGGGGAGAGGCACATTTTAAATATCAGAATTAGATTAACTTTGAGTTTGTACTAAATTGGGAACATAATAGATTTTCATAAATTATGTGTGCCTTGTTGGAAATGTCCACTGTCTTTATGTCTGCTTGTAAAAGTTTCAAAATATGTTTTCCCTCAAAAAGGCAACGTTACTTCATTTGCTTGATTATGATAGGAATGCTTACTGATATTACTTGATAGTCATATATAGCCTAGGAACTTTAACATATATATAACTATAGCAGTATTAATAATGATAGTTGTACTTCTTTAAAACATTAAATTTGAGGAAACTTTAATGCTGTCTCGTGTACATTGCTTTACTACAGTGAGGGGGAATATCCTTTAGATTGAGCCTCAATTTACTGGTTAGTAGTATGTGAAACTCTGGTATAAAAACATGAACTAGACAGTAGAGCCGATGAATTAAAATTGTAAGTTGCTACATTGGCATTTTCTACCTCCTTTTCTGTCTGAGTATTACTTTTTCCAGCATTTATTCTTATTTGTGAGGAAAGAGGAAATGGGAACCTGAGGTTAAAATTGACGTTTTTGTTTCATTGAGAATTTAAGCAGTAGGTACAGGAGAATTGACTTGTCACATTAATTTGGTGCCTAAATCCGTAACTGCAAGTTATAATTGACAAGTACAAAATGTCTAAGAAAGGTAATATGCTGAATATTTTACTTTTCCTGTATAGTCTGCATGATTTGTTTCATAAACCCAGCTTATTTCCTCCAAAAAGCAAAATGGTCCTGTAATTTTTAAAATAAAATAAACATGCCGTTTTGTCTGTAATCTATAATTTCAGGAAGTTATTGAAAGTTCTGACTCAGGGCTTTTTAACAGTTCAAGCAGTTGTCAGTTATATTTTGGAAGCTCCATCTGTGTAATTCTTCAGTGCCTTGAAAGAATTATTAACTTGGCAACACTATTAAAACTTTATAAAAGATGGTCTTTAGTATCATTATATACACGTTTTAAAGTCATATTGCTTAGCTTGTTGTTAATGATTCTGCATGTGTGCTGGGTTTGGGTAATTCTTTAAAGGATGTTTTCTAGATTTGCAATTGATGTTTGTTTTTTAAAAACTGACTATTTATGGCCATGACACTGTTACCAGAAAAGTAATTCTAATTAAGTTATTATGCAAAGTCATCTATAAGTAGTGTCTGGGAAGAGGAGTCGAGGTCACAGTTTGCTATTTTAGAATGAAAGGAGGATCTGTTTGGGAAACATAGATTGTCTTCCCCTCAAATGAGAGAAAAAAAAAAGACCCTTTGTTCAAATGGATTCTGTTTTAAAAAATTATTTTTAAAGGAAATCACAAATTGCATGTCATTCTTAATGCTAGTCTTATAGACTAAATCCCTAAAATTGTTTTTATGTTCAGTATGTTTGTGTCATTGTAAATGCAGTATATTCAATGATAGCAGTTCAATTGACTCATAGCAGTGTTTTGTATTTTTTCCAATTCTTTAGCTTTCAATGTTGGATTAAAGGCTTGTTTGTGAATATAGTTTCTGTATGGCAAATGATTCTGCTTATTAGCTTTTGTTAAAGAATGCTTAGTAAGAGCTAAGCTTTTAAAAGTAATGCAAACATTTGTCATTAATAAAACCTATGGTATAATATCATATAATGCTTTGATCTTTTGAGAATTATTCTTTTATAGTAGTATACATGAATTTTGATTTTTAAAGCATTTAAAAAATCTTAATACATTAAAAAACTTGTTATTGTTAAAAAGGAAATTACCATGCCTTTAAGAAACAAGGGTGTACATCTTCAACTCAGCGTAAGTGTCCACATCTAGAAGGCTCTCCTTGCAATTGTTTACAATTAAGGTACCTCTGTCTAAAGGGCCAAAGAAGCTTTTCATATTTTAACACCTCACATTCTTCAGGATTAAGACATATGAAAATAATCTGAATAGGATAAATTTGATAGGAAGTAAATTAACCAGTCTGGAAGATTCATCTTTTTCTATAAAAAGATTATTCCTCTTCACAAGTCAGATGTAGATTTCATTTTCAAGAGGTAGACATTTTGAAGCAATGATCTATTTGGTTTTTAGTTTTATGAGTAAATCATTAATTGTATGCTTTGGGGTTATTTTATTTTCCATGTTAATATAAGCACTTATTTCTGAAGTTATTGAGAGGTCATCTAGCTCCAGTTCAAAAGATTATGTGTATCTGATGTTTAAGAGGAAAAACATCTGAAAAAATCTTTTGTTTATTTGATAAAAGCATATATATTCCAACATTAAAATTGTGAATTTATTTTGAGTAACCTCTAATTAACTGTATTTTTTTGTTTCTGTTGCTGTATAATTAGAAATTTCATGGCAATATTTTTTACTAAATTGAAACTGTATAGGTTTTAAAAATAAAGATGTTTTAGAAAACTTGCTTTATATTTTTTATCATTGATAGTTTTTCATTCTTCACAAAGGTTAAAATTATTTGATAGTCTTTTAGCATAACATTTCCCAAATGTATTGACAATGAAAACATTCAGGCCAGATGTGGTGGCTCATGCCTGTAATCCCAGCACTTTGGGAAGCTGAGGTGGGTGGATTGCCTGAGCTCAGGAGTTCCAAGACCAGCCTGGGCAACATGGCAAAACCCTGTCTCTACAAAAAATACAAAAGTTAGCCAGGCATGGTGGCGCACACCTATAGTCCCAGCTACTTGGGGGGCTGAAGTGGGAGGATTGCTTGAGCCCGGGAAGTCAAGGCTGCAGCGAGCTGAGATTACACCACTGCACTTCAGCCTGAGTGACAGAGTGGGACCCTGTCTCTTAAAAACAACAACAAAAACCTCAAAACCTTTAATGGGTGCATAGGCGTTTATAAGATATAATGAGTATACAGATTAAAGTAGAACACCAAGAATGATTTCTCAGATAAATTATTTGTTGAAGAATAATCATTTGGCAAATAGTTTCTCCCTTATAATAAAACTAGTTGATAAATTCATTTTTATCTTATTAAGGACAAGAAAATGATAGACCTTATTTGGAAATGGAAGACCAGACCTGTAACAGATCATCAGTGAGGGGATGACATGTGAAGGAGGCCATCAGGCAGTGCTGCCTTTGCCCGTAACTCATCAGATGTGATGCATTCAGGCTGCAGGTAACACTTCATGCTGGGGCTCTGCATTTACAGTTAGAGCAGCTTTCTGAAAGGCAGATTTCCAAGATAATATATTCATTATTTTTCATATATTTGAAAGTATTGTCTTCTTTCCCTTCTGTGTTCTTTCTTTGACACAAAACATTAATATTAAGAGTGTGACACTGACAGGCAGTTAGGGAAATACTTTTGTAGGTGAGGTTACCCTAATTTAATAGGGAAACTAGAACCAGCAAGCATGCCAGAGATTCTGGAATTATCAAAGTAGGAATTTAAAACAGCAACAATTAATAGGCTGTGAGCTCTGATGAAAAAAAGTGGACAATTCAGGTAATTCCAGCACTTTGGGAGGCCCAAGTAGGGAGTTGCTTGAAGCCAGGAGTTCAAGACCAGCTTGAACAACACAGCAAGACCCTGTCTCTACAAAAAAAAAAAAAAAAAAAAAAAAAAAGGCCAGGGATTGTGGCAGGTGCTTCTAGTCCAAACTACTCAGGAGGCTGAGGCAGGAGGATCACTTGAACCCAGGAGTTCGAGGCTGCAGTGAGCTTTGATTGTGCGGCTGCCTTCCAGCCTGAGCAACAGAGCAAGATAATGTCTCAAAAACAAAAAACAAAAACAAAAAACCATGGGTAATATAAGCAGAGAGATGGAAGCTCTAAGAATCAAAAGATTCTTGAAATAATGTTACAAATGGGAATACCAGAAGATTGAAAAAACATTTTATTTATTTATTTTTGGAGATGGAGTTTCACTCTTGTCACCCAGGCTGGAGTGTAACAGTGCACTGTCCACTCACTGCAACCTCCACCTCCCAGGTTAAGCGATTCTCCTGCCTCGGACTCCTGAGTAGCTGGGATTACAGGCGCCCACCACCATGCCCAGCTAATTTTTGTATTTTTAGTAGAGACAAAGTTTTCAGCATGTTGGCCAGGCTGGTCTCAAATTCCTGACCTCAGGTGATCTGCCTGCCTAGGCCTCCCAAAGTGCTGTGATTACAGGCATGAGCCACCACGCTCAGCCAGAAAATTAAAAAAAATTTTTTTTTAAAGGAATAGAAGAAACATTTGAATCTATAGTGACTGAATATCCCAAAGATAATGATAGACACCAAACCACAGATCCAGGAAGCTTAGAGAATATCAGCCAGGATAAATATTAAAAATCAAAAAATTACCATCTCATATTCAAAGTACAGAAAATCAGAGACAAAAAAATCATGAAAGAACTCCAAGTGGGGTTGGGGTGTTGGGGAGGGGCCTTGTTGATAGAGGAGCAAGGATAAGTACTATATTGAACTTCTCCAGAAACTATGCAAACAAGAAGAGTAAAAGGAAATAATTAAAAGGTTGAAAGAAAAAAAGTACTAAATAAGAATTCTGTATCTAGTGAAATTATCCTTCAAAAGTAAAGGAAAAGTAAAGGCTTTCTAAGAGAAACAAATATTGAAGGGATTTGGTGCTAGTAGACTGGCCTTACCAGAAGTGTTAATACTTCTATTTAATTTTTAATTTTTGTTTATTTTTATTTTGATTTAGCAATAAATTAAAACATATGGCCAGGTGCAGTGGCTCATGCCTATAATCCCAGCACTTTGGGAGGCAAAGGTGGGCAGATCATGAGGTCAGGAGTTTGAGATCAGCCTGGCCAACATGGTGAAACCCCGTCTCTACTAAAAATACAAAAATTAGCTGTGTGTGTTGGCGGGCACCTGTAGTCCCAGCTACTCGGGAGACTGAGGAGAATCGCTTGGAACCGGAAGGCAGAGGTTGCAATGAGCCGAGATTACACCACTGCACTCTAGCCTGGACAACAAGAGCGAAATTCCGTCTCAAAACAAACAATAAACAAATAAATAAACATTTTATTGGAGATAAAATTAACCACAAAGAAAGACAGGAAGAAAGGAAGAGAGGAGTTATTTTAAAAAAAAAAAAACAAAACCCAAAAACAAAGAACAAAATGGCAGTACTAAGTTCTTAATAATAACATGGAATGTTAATGGACTAAATTTCCCGAAGAAAAGACAAACCAAACTCAAAATTTGTAGAAGGAAAGAAATAATAAAGATCAGCACAGAAATAAATGAAATTGGGACTAGGAAAAAAACAAAAGTTGAATAAAATGAAAAGTTGTTTTTTTTAAAAGATAAAATTGACAGCCTTTTAACTAGACTAAAAAAAAAGAAGACCCAAATAAAATCAGAAATGAGAAAGGTAACATAACATCTGATACCACATAAATACAAAGAATCATTGGAGAATATTATGAATAACGATATGCCAACAAATTGGAAAACCTAGAAGAAATGGATAAATTCCTGCACATATACACCCTGCCAAGATTGAGCCATGAAGAAGTAGAAAACCTGAACAGACCAATAACAAGTAATGAGATTGAAACCCCAATAAGGTCTCCCATCAAAGAAAAGCCCAAGGACCTGATTGCTTCACTGGTGGATTCTACCAAATATTCAAAAGAAGAATTAATACCAATTAAACTCTTCCAAATATTGAAAAGGAGGGAATACTTCCAAACAAATTCTATCAGGCTAGCATTACCTTGTGTATTAGTTCATTCTCACACTGCTATGAAGAAATACCCAAGTACTGCGTAATTTATAAAGAAAAGAGGTTTAATTGACTCACAGTTCCATATGGCTGGGGAGGCCTCGGGAAACTTACAATCATGGCGGAAGGCACCTCTTCACAGGATGGCAGGAGAGAGAATGAATGCCAAGCAAAGGGGGAAGCCCCTTATAAAACCATCAGATCTCATGAGAACTCACTCACTATCATGAGAACAGCATGGCAGAAACTGCCTCCATGACTCAATTATCTCCACCTGGTTCTGCCCTTGACACATGGGGATTATTACAAGTCAGGGTGAGATTTGGGTGGGGTCACAGAGCCAAACAATATCACCCTGATACCCAAACCAGATAAGGACACAATAAAAAAAGAAAACTGTAGGCCATTATCCCTGATGACTATAGAGGCAAAAATCCTCACCAAAATATTACAAAATACAACAACACATTAAAAAGATCATTCACCATGATCAAGTGGGATTCATCCCAGGGATGCAAAGATGGTTCAACATATGTGTCATGCCAGACCCCTAGTGACTCCAAAAGAGATGGCATTGTGTCTGAGAGGCCCAGAAGAGACCTAGAGCCAGTAACTTACTACCAGACATGGTTTATAGAGGACGTACATACAAGGCAGTCCAGAGGTGACAGGGTGGACAGGAGCACTGCTACTGTTTGTAAAAAACATGCAGTTTATATGGCATTTTCATGTAGCAACACCAACCTAGCAAACTTCATTTAACCCAGAAAAGGGGCCTCATTTCCTTGCACATCCTATGTTCCAAGGAACGGGCAGAGGGGTTCAATGTCCTTCATAAGAAGTGAATCTCTGGGTTAGCCACTACTGGATTCCTTAGCTTGGAACTCTGAGCACACATTCTTCTTAGACCATAGGGTCATTCTCAGGGTATATGCTTAAGTTACTGCTGTCAGGTGCATCTGCCATACAATACACAAGTCAATAAACATGATACATCACATTAACAGAATCAAAGATAAAAACCATGTGATTATTTTAATAGATGCTGAAAAAGCATTTGATAAAATTTAACATCCCTTTATGATGGGTGTTGAAGGAACATACCTCAAAATAATAAAGGCCATCTATGACAAACCCATGGCTAACCATTGTACTGAATGGAGAAAAATTGAAGGCTAAGCAATTAGGCAAGAGAAACAAATAAAGGGCATCCAAATTGGAAAGGAAGACATCAAATTAGCCTTGTTCACAGACGACATGATCTTATACCTAGAAAAACCTAATATCTTCACCGAAGTATGTTAGAACCGATACATGAATTCAGTAAAGTTGCAGAATACAAAATCTACATACAAAAATCAGTAGCATTTCTATATGCCAAAAGCAAACAACCTGGAAAATCAAAAAAGTAATCCTATTTACAACAGCTACAAAAAATATAAAATACCTAAGAATCAATATAACAAAAGTAGTGAAAGATCTATACAAGGAAAACTATAAAACTGATGACAGAAATAGAAGAGGACACACATACACACACAAATGGGAAAACATTCCGTGCTCATGGGTTGGAAGAATTAATATTTTTAAAGTGACAATAGTACCCAAAGCAATTTACAGATCCAATGCCATTTCTATCAAAACATGAATAACATTCTTCACAGAAATAGAAAAACAATTCTAAAATGTATATGGAACTATGAAAGACCAAATAGCCAAAGCAATCCTGAACAGAAAGAGCAAAGCTGGAGACATCACACAACCTGGCTTCAAAATTTATTACAAAGCTATACTAACCTAAATAGCATGATACTGGCATAAAAACAGACACATAGACCAATGGAACAGAAATAGAGAACCCAGATATGAATCCATGCATTTACAGCCAACTCGTATTCAATCAAGGTGCCAAGAAATTACAATGTAGAAAGGAGAGTCTTTTCAGTGAATGCTGCAGGGAAAACTGGATAACTATATGCAGAAGAATGAGAATAGACCCCTACACCTTATCATACACAAAAATAAAACAAAAATGAATTAAACACTTGAATCCCAGACCTGAAACTATGAAACTACTAGAAGAAAGCATTGGGGAAATACTCCAGGACATTGGCCTGAGCAAAGATTTCTTGTGTAACACCTCAAAAGCACAGGCAACCAAAGCAAAGATAGACTATTAGGATTACTTCAAGCTAAAAAGCTTCTGCAGAGCAAAGGAAAGAGTCCACAAGGTGAATAGACAATCAACAAAATAAAACATTTACAAACTATCCATCTGAAAAGGGATTAATAACTAGAATATACAAAGAGCTCAAACAACTCAATAGCAAAAAACCAAAAACAATTTCATTTAAAAATGGGCAAAAGATCTAAACAGACATTTCTCAAAATAAGACATACAAATGGCCAACAGGTATATGAAAAAATGCTCAA